TAAATGTTGCTGGTGCATTTGACAGCCCTTGAGGCATCACCAGCCACTCCCAGAGCATCCCACTTGGAGTACTCACTGTTGTCAGCGGAATATCACTCGTTCCCATGAGCAATTAGTAATACCCATTGACCAAGTCGTGAGCACTGTACTTTTAGAGCCAACTATATAGTTCTGGTGAATATCCTTTCTAGAAATCGGCGTCTGTGTCGGAATGGTTGTAGCGTTTAGCTTATAATAAGCATAAAGGATACGCCACTTGCCGTTCGGCTTCAGGACACAAAGAGTGGGTGTGGAATGGAAACCTTACTCTCACGCACAATTCCTGCCTCGTGCTTCACACGGAAAAAGGCGTCAATGACGTCACACTGCTTCTTGGGCAGAGGACATTGGCGTGTTACGCAGTATATGTTTCTCGGAACCAGGTTAATCTCATGACGCACATCTCGGTCCGGAGGGAGGACAAACGGCGGGTCTTCAAATACGATGTCCAGGATTTTTTACCAAAGGATAGTACGGATCCGAGGGGTCTTTCATGATCGTCGATCCACTTCATGCGTTCAGTACCCTTTTAGTGTTCCAGGACTGCTTCATCACAAGCGACGACGAGTTAATCTCCTCGCTCGGTCTTATGATGACCACCTCGGCTAAATTGTCTGTCTTCAAGGCACCGCCAAACTCTTCGAAGGACATCCGCCGCAGGAATAGCATCGAAGGTGACGTCACCGTCTTCGTATCGCATCATACCGCTGACGAGGGTTACGGTAGACACACTCTAGGTCAGGGTCGACGCCCTGCGTCTTGCAGATATCACACGGTATCACCGTCTCCTCACTATAGCGGTCTTATGTCTCATCGAGACCAGCGGGAACACGCACTCGGCGTAGTCCAGTGTCCCCACTCCCTGCTCCGTCGGAGCCTTGATGTTATTAACAACATCCGACGAAGAGCTACTATTCCGCAGTCTTCGTCCAGAGAATAACGTGCCACTTCACGCGCATCAGAAGGGCCTTGCCCAGGATGCCTCGGACCTCGTCCGACCATGCCACTCTTGGCATGCAGCAACAGCTTCGAAACGCTAGCAGTGCTCAGAGGATTACATGCCACTCCACGCACATCACAAGGGCCTCGCTCTTGATGCCTCGGACCTTGCCAATCTTGGCATGCAGCGACTTCTCCAATAGTGGATAACGTGCAACTCCACGTTCAGCCCGCGATCCACGCTCGGGACTCTTGTCTAAAACTTTATTGGTGTTCGACAGCTTGGATACTCAGATATCCAGCACATTGACCGTCCCGGTCTAGTGCCCACGCCAATAGCGCTTCAGCTTCCTAGCAGAGGAGGGTTCATGACTCACCAAAGCTCCCCTAGGTGACGTGCACGCAGCGTCCAGGACTTCGACCTCCAATTAATTCATGGCTCATGGTGTTCCAACCATGCCATACCAAGGATAAGGTCATACCTTGCATCCAAGTCTAAGACAAAGCAGCGTTCCACGCTACCAAAGGAAATTTAAAAATTTGACGCCGATGTCCACAGAGACCCTCGTCACAGTGACACAAGTCCCCGTTGATAAGCGAACAGTGACGGTGTCACTCGACCGAGATTCCAGCGCCTCAGTATACAGCTGACATCCTACGATCGTGGAGCGTCAAGCATAATTGCCCGACGCCCCGAAGTTAATAAGGATTTTCCATGCTTCACGTCGCTTGTAAGATTAGCAAGCCCGGCTTACGCACACGCTCCGTGTCCAAGAGCACGAAGCCCTTCGGGGCTGGGCCCTGCTGCCCTCTACCTCTTTGGGCACAGCATAACTCAGTTCTTTCCCAGTAAGCCGCCCCGCGCTTACTGAGTATTCTCGTTTCCCCGCGACTAACCAGACCGTTTGGAATCGGGACGTCGGTTCGACAAATTTTTAAGCGCCTTGCGCAGGGGACAACCAGCCCGAAAGTGACGGAAGTCTCCACAAACAATTACACACTGCTCGGCAACTCGGATCTCTCCCTCCTCTTTCTCAGCATAGCTGAGATCCATTTGATCAGGCTCACTCGACGGGGTCTGAGGGTGAGCATTCCAACCAAGTCGTGTCGATTTAAAATTTAATTTGGTACCCAATGCCACATTCAACGCTTCTTCTACATATGACGGGTGCGCAAGGAGGACTTCCGTTCTAGCCACGCCAGTGCGGATGCCGTCCATAAAAACGGTCACTGCGACCACCTTGGGGGGGATCGGCTGCCATCCCGGCAATTAGAGTTCTCAAATTTTGGAAAAACTCCACCAACTTCTTCTTTCCCTGTCGGGCAGCAAATAAATGCGATCACACGCGATACGCCCCATTAGGCGGTGAGAACACTCACAAAAGCTGACGCACGTTAGTGCTCATTCTCGCACTAGGATCCCGAGCCTGGAGATAGCTAGCGCCACGCGCTGTTGCTCGTTTTAAAGCATGGCGGATGTCTTAGTCATCTCGGCCTCTCTCATCCAGAGCAGGAAATCCTCTCCATCCTTACCCTCGAAGGTAGTAACGGATACCATAAGCGGCCTTGGTCGGAAGGAATCTATTGTCATCGACGGTGGCGTCATAGGCGCTGTCGACGCCGACATCGTCTGCTCTAAGTTCTTTAGCAGAGCATTTTTATAATTGAGAAAACCTCTAGCGAGCTGGACACCTCATGTCCTTGTTAAGCGAATTGTTGCACGTCCTCAGTGCCAAGCAGAGACATAAGCCTTTTCAGCCGGTTCTGTATGCCCTGTGGCAAATAGAAGAATCGCTCCATCCTCACAGGGGATCAGTCGTAACGACTCAGGCGTATATTGACTACGAGTGCTACCCAGTACAGCGGGGCTGCCGTAGCTTTTTGCTTAGAGGAAGCATAGTTAAGTTCACCGACCTTTTTTCTATACCAGAACCAGTAGGAGTGTAGAGGATCGCGACCCGCTACCTCGAAGAGTACCCAAAACCTTAACCAAGGCAATACACTCTTCCGTTTAAAATTGAAACTTAATTTAATTGTTTTAGTTGCGGTAGAGCCGTCATATCTAAACCCCTAGGTTTTCCTGATTAATATACTAATATCTAATCAATATAGTAAAACCTCAAGGATATAGTAATTCATACAACAGTCTCTTCTTGCTGCAATATTGCTATTGTGAATGACTCAATTTTCTAAGTACATCTCACTTATTATACTTTTGACGATAATAAACGCTTGTCATCACGACGTGCTCTTCAACCTTGTTTTGCGCGAAGTTTTGATACGAAAAAAAAATAATGACTATCCTCTAATAGTGATCATAAATGTATGTATAGTTTTGGTCAAGAAATCTGAGTCGGACAGATGATACAAACCTAAGGTCTGTCATAATCTTTAACCTACTGGTTCAGAGCCAACTATTTAACGCATCAGTAGACATGGCTCTAGGCAACGCGCAGTACGCAGTGGCGGACCTCGTAGCCAAAGCAGAGGCGCTTGTGGACCAGTGTCAACCGGAACTGGCCGTGCAATTTTATGAAAGAGCATTGCTTCAAGACCCAAGCAACACATCACTGCTGGACTCAATTGGCGAGCTGAGCACGGAGCTAGACAATCCGGAACGTGCGCTGTCAGCCTTTCAGCAAAGTGTACGACTTTCCCCATCTCAAAATCCGACCAAGTATTTTTATTTGTCGCAGCTTGTTGTGGGTAAGGAAGCAGAGCAGTATATGACGCAGGGTATCACGTTTCTTCAGCAGGAACTGCAACGACAAGCGGACCCGAATTCTTTCGAGGCGATGACAATAAAGAAACAGATATGTGACGCCTATTGCTCACTAGGGGAGCTCTATATGACAGACTTGTGCTATGACGAAGAGGCTGAGGGGCGTTGTGAGAAGTCCTTTGAAGAAGCCATGAAGTACGATGTCGGCTTGCCCGAGCCCACGCAAGCACTTGCTAATTTGCGACTCGTGCAGCAAAACAAAGAAGGAGCTGATAGCTTACTCAATGAAACGTACCGTCGTCTTAACGAAAATTGCGACGATGAAAGTATGCCGTCCTTAGATTTTCGGACTGCCACGGGCAAAATGCTTATTGAAGTAGAGCGATATGAAGAGGCATGTGACGTGCTCGAGGGCGTGATGCAGGAGGATGATGAGAATGCTGAGCTCTGGTTTCTTGTGGGTACATGCTATCGCGCTATGGACGACTTGCCCAACGCACTTGAGTTTTTTGAAAAATGCCAACAAATGCTTAATAACCTCAAGAAAGAGCTTCGCGACGAATTTTACCTTCACGACCAGCTCGAAAGTGTGAATGAAACGATTGCTGAGCTCTTAGACTCTATCGCTAACCGTCCACCCAAAGAGAGCGATAGTGAAGAGGAGAAAGATGCAGAAACAGATACTATAGGACAGGAAGACGTGGACATGGAAAGTTGAGTCACATAGAATACTTATACAACTATTTTTTGTTCTTAGATATATCGGTTCGGGACTATGGCATATGTGGTGGATAGATAGGACAGCACACTATTTTGCCGTTGCTGACGCCAAATATGGCATGTCTTTCATCAGAAGCCAGTCCCTGAGCTACGATTTCACCATACATGTCTCGATCGAGTAGTACACGTTGGTCTTCGAATGTGTGTGCTGTCATCAATAGCGCCTGCGCACTGTTGCTAACTACCACTTGTGAGTATCTGGCACATATACTCAATGATGTCATAGGGTGATCACCCAACAAGTGCTTAGCTAGCAATGAACCATTTAAGTGAAACGAATATAGTATGGGAACCCCCGTGCCCATCGACTGAAGGATCACGTGCCCTAAAATGGACAAGTCGAGCGAAATCACACCTGGCTCCAGATGACCAGGCACTCGAAAAGAGTGGATAATCGCCCCATCTTCTAGGTCGTGAGCCAAGCATTCGTTAGACGTGGATCCACTGATACAAATACCTAATTCGTCCGAAACACGCACGCAATTGATTTGTGCACTGTGTCCCAACAACACTTGGTCCGCCGAGAAATTGCTGGCATGAACAGGCTTGGAGCTCACTCTTGTACCTCTAAAAAGCTTTAAGGATTCTAACATCGTCGAGTTCGTACTTGCCACTTTCCACACAGACACCGTCCCATCAGTACAACCAAGTGCAATCATCAAACCTGACTTGCTGGTATTAACACAACTTACTACCGATTGGTGTTGCAACAGACGATAAAGTAGTGCTCCATCTTCTGTCGAATGAAATCGTGCAGAGAAATCATGATGACCCACTGTGCAGATCACCATGCCTTGATTAAGAAATGCGATGGAATTTGATACATCAATCTGGTCTGATAAAATGCGAGTTTCTCCAAGCACTTTTCGACTTTTGCGATCTTGAAGCTCGAGAATCTTGGTAATTTGATCGCTATGCGAGCTAGAGGATTTGATTTTACCGTTTGATTTGCTATCAGAATGATGTGAGCTTGAGCCCCTTGGTTCAAGTCGATGATATGAGATCATGCCATTGAGATCCACACAGGCGATTAGAGAAGTGCCAGAAATCAATTTGACGAGTACGATCGGGGCTTCATGAGGAATATTTAGAACAAAGTAGCGGTCAAACGACGGTGGTGATATCATCTCAGAAGATTCCAAGTTTTCAGTCCATTCACGCTTTTTACAAAGTTGACGTTGAGGATGAGGATCTCGAAGCAGTTGGGACGGAGTCTGCCCAAAATGGGCAATTTGAGATTGTATGGATGACTTGACGATTGGATCCGTGATTGAGTCGACATCAACCATGCCTTCATATGTGAGGTAAAAGAACACGTTGTTTGCTTCCATAGCTGCAGCTCCGCGCTGTTTCCAGCCAAAGACTAAGTCGATCCAGTGATGAATATTTGCTGAGACGTATTCACTCTCAAGTGCCTAAAAATGTATAGTTAAAACCGTATCCACCAAAGAGTAACCATTTTGTACACGACACGTACCACAAAATTTTTCATCACAAAATCCTCTGGTGACCGGGCCCAAGGGGGAAGTACAACATCATTAACAGTCGTGCCATTTTGTCGCATCCCAAAATCAAGTTCATTACAATTAATCAGGAACTCTGGGAGGTAAAACCATTCAGGAGTCAACTCTTTCAAGTCCGTATAGTCAGTCAGACAATTTTTCCATGTTTCGGCAACCGAGTGGAACAAGCGGTCCGCATGGTCAAATTTGCCGCCTTGTATGCTCAATGCATACGAAGTGAAAGGCTCCAGGCGAATGAGATAGTAAAGCACTGCACCGATGTTTGAGTAGTGTGTTCCATACCTATCCTCGTCAAATTTTTTCATTAATACTGTGTAGCTAATTTTCACAATTGATGAAAGAAAAACAAACTTACATAAATTTGGGAATGTCAGGATCCTCAAACGCGACAAAGCGATCAACAAAAAATTTTAAGCGACTCGTCTCCAAAGCTCCCATTGGCTTAGATAGGTCTCGGTAAGACCCTATTCGGCTAAGATCTAGCGTTGCCGACTCGTAATCGGAGATGATCCATGGGAAAACAGGATATTGAGTGAGATCGTTATAAGTTCGACCAGCGATCGTATTTAGCCACATAATGTACTCGAACGTAGAAATTTCGTGCTGAATCCAGCGGGTGCTCATTGGAGAATTACGAAACAAGCTACTCGGATTTCGCAGTCGCCGAACGCTTGGATGCCGCTTCAATAATTGAGGTCGACGCGCCATTAGCGCTTCGTGAAATAGTGCGACGTCTTCAGAAATTAAATTAAAAAAGTAGTTTTTTCTAGTGGATAGAATGAATACTTCCAGCGCCGTCGGCTTGAGCAAATACCGCCGACGGTACAATCCTGCAATGTCATCAATCTTCCATCGACGACCTTTGAAAAGAAATCGCCATATTTTATCTATAGGCACTCCTTCCTTTTTCTCAACAATAACAGTCTCATTTTCGTCGACTACTCGTTCAGCCACAAAGCGCAGTGACGAACTGGTCAAAATGAGCTTTCCTTCAACAATATGCAAATGACGCACGAGCTGGGTTTTGACAATAAAGTTTACCTTTGATGTTTGAGTCTCATTTTTTGCTCCACTGTCACAAATTTGTCGACTTCGTTTAGTGACTGACGGTAACGAAAAGTTTTGCGGAGACCTTATATCAGTAGCTGGCTTCGTTTCTATCAATTTCAGCGACGACATAGTAAGCTGTAAGGAAGACCCGATTGGTGACAGGCGATCTGTGGTCATTGGCGTGCTCTCAATGTACTTTGATACCTCTTGTACCAGAGCCTGTGCTTCATCTGACACTGCGTCTTTAGTTGTGTAAAGAGAGTCCACTCCATACTCCACGGCATCTTTGGCGTTTTTCACCGACTTTTGAAGATAATCCGCGACCCCGCCAACCAACGTCGAGAAAGATGTCGCATTGGTAGCTGTTGATGACGCGTTATATGATACAACAGGTGGTGGAGAGAAACTAGCTGTACTTTGTTCCCTTGTCGTAGAGTTAGCACCAGGATGAGCCCCATCAAAGCCAAGCGCATTTACTTGCCCAGACGACGCAACTTTAGTAAAATTACTTGACGGACTGGTACCAGTTTCGATTTCGCTTGGCTGAGAGCCAGAAGGTAGTTGACATATTTTGTTACTTTCCGCGGCATCATTGGGTTCTGTTTCGTCAATGCCAAGATCATCGTCATCAGAAATTTCACCATATGTACTTTCATATTCTTCAGGGTTGGATATAGACCGAATTATCGCGGCTCGCATTTGGGCATCCGTAAGAGATGCATTGTGTTTGAGCTCCACATCACTTCGCCGATCATACTCTAGATTAGTCATGACTCCTTCCATTGACTTACAAATACGACGGCTCAATTTCCTACCAATCTCTATACTTTCAGTATCCGAGAGAAGCGATACACATGATTCAGAGCTTAAATTTCTCGCACGATAGTCTTTAGACACAAATTTCAGGCGAAGACGCATACGGAGTTTATTTTCGGTCGAAACGATTTTCAGTGTGGCTGCATCTCTGCCGCACTCGTTTTTATTAGTAGTATGGCCTGCTTTACCAGACTTTGCATAATGTAGACTTTTATTGAGCGACAATAGTCCACTGTCACAAGTCGAAATCGTAAGAAGTTTATGCACACTACTCGCAAACTTTTCGGTGCAACGTTTCAGCTCGACAACTCGCGACTCAATTGCTAAGGAATCTCGATCATTACCAAGCTCAGCAGCCTCATCTTCATCAACTATCTCCTTCCACAGCATTTCGCACTGCTGAAGTTCATTCCTTACCATCTCAGCTTGTGAGCGAGCATGCTGATGGATGAGGTATGGATTGAAGTCAATAATATTATTTTCCAAAACGTACATCCAACGTCGTATGAATTCGAAATTGTGTCCCCCTACATGATTGAAGAAAACCGCGGGGTCCCAGCAAATGTGGTAATTTTCAAAATGAAGCTGCCAGAGCGAATATAGCTCGCGAAAGTCAGCGACGTCACTGAAAAATGAGAGGTCTGTTGAAGACATAATCTCGAAGATTTTTGTCAGTTCAGGTTTCGCGCTGGAATCGATTAATTGCAAGGTTGTATCAGCAAATGTCACCATAACTCTCATCGTTGAACGGATAGCCACAAGGTCGGTTGCTTCAAGCAAGCATTCCAAAAGCCTAAAACAAGCATGCATGTATATTGTATATTCGTTGTCGGGTGTCGCGTTCAGGCCCTCTTGAAACAGAAATTTGCCAGGAGAGAGTGCGGTCTTTGACAGGTCAAGCGAGTGCGCAGTGTCAACGGCACATGCCACTTCACGAGGCGGCGATATTTTCAGTGACGGTGATACTGAACGTGACTCTTCCGACCGCCGAGAAGCTGACTCATCATGTCCTGCAGCAATGACTTCCAGCATTTGGATAACTCGATGTATTTTCGGAACTAGACTCACGTCAATTGTGTTGCTGGTATGAACATGCGTCACATGCCGGACAGTCACCTGTAAAATCAAGACCACAGATTGTGACCGCGAAGCGACGAGATGAGTGAAAATCTCAGTTTGTTCAAGCGTAACATCACAACCGTAATCAAAATTTTGATTTAATTTTACCACAAGGCCGTCCCAGTCAATTTGATGAAAATGGGGCAGTACGACCTGCCAAAGCTCAAATGCCTTACGATCGAGAATTGTCTCCTGACCTTGCGCCAGAATAAAATCATTAGAAGTGTGCCTTTCGGTCATTTTGTTTGTCAAAAGCGAGCTCTGAGAGATCAATGCGGCGACTTGAGAAAGATTCTCCCAAATTATATCAGAATGTAGCGCTGAGTGATTATGAGTTGTTTGATACATGATTTCTTCGCAAATTTCTGCCGTTAAGCTACATAGAACGGAAGGCGTACGGCAATGGTAGAAATAAAACTCCATAAAGCACGACCACCCATTTTTGACGGAAAGGATGCAGTAGACCACAATTTGTACGATCATTTGGCTAGCAAGCTTGTCCACAAGTTCACACCAACGCTGTGGATAATGTTTGATAACCATCGTAATGATGGCGCTAGTACAGAATTCGTCTTGGCTGCGGATTTGTATCAGGCTAAGAGCAAAATCACACGCTGACACATCCCCATACATTGCGATTGTCTCAATTGCTCTTAACTTAGCATATGCTGAGGTTGAGTCCGCGCTGAGGAGGCTGCAAGCCTCGTTGAGCTCTACTGACTGACTACAACTCAGTTTTCTCGTTTCATTGCGATCAATCGTATATGCTGCTGCTTCCACAGACGCTTTAACTGTGATTGATCGTAGCTGACTCAGCCAGGAAGGCCAGGATCGAATTGAATCTTTCACGCGGTTTCCCATCGCGGAAGATGCTAGTTGCACACGAATTTCCGCCAGGACGTAAGCTTGGACATCGAATCCTCCACAGTGAATAAGATTAATTAACACAAGAGGAATATAATTCATCCGTTCAAGACTGCCAATACGCACTTCATCAGAAAACTTATGTGGCATTCGCTTTCGTCCAATGACGATATCCAGTAACAAATCAGCAATGTCGGCAGTGAGAGTATGTGCTTGCAAAGATGAGTACAGCATTAGCATATCGTGTTTCTGTAGTAAGCTTCTTTCAGATGTGTATAATTCAAACAATCGAAGCGCGTTTAAGCGAACATTATAATTTGAGGAAAGCATTGGTCTCCAAAACGCTCGCATTGTACCTTTCGAAAGATGATTGATGTTAGTTGTGACCTGCAGCTGGCGAGATGGAAGACTGACAGCTCCTTTGCAAGCCTCAGACGATGCTAAATTCTGCGTAAGATACTGAAGTATATGGATAATGTCCGCAGCATCTCTATCACGAGGGTGTTTTGTTGAGCTGCTTTGGCATTGTCGGAATAAGTAAGCCATTAGCTGACGCCATTGATCAGTCGCTGTATCCTCAAATACCGGAAAAAGCAGGGGATCGATTAGCCTGCACAAAATGAGTTCGCGCAATTGTGCCAGCTGTTCCGCATTCATTTGATTGCTCTTATAATTGTCAGATGGGCTTACCACATAATTTTGAGCGATCAAGCGACAAAAGAAGCCGACGCTAGCTTGATCTTTGATATTTGAAAAGCGAGAGAAGTCGGATAATGATGCGGCGCGAGGAATTGATACAATGTCAGAACAGCAAGATTTCTCTTGTAGGCTTGTTTTTCGGAGAATTTGCAAGTACCTCGGAAGCACTTTGCCCAAAAGTTTTACTTGTGTGTCGTATGGTGAGAGAAACCAATTTGTGTTGAAAAACATTAGCCGATAAATATACTCCACAAGTTCTCCTTGAGTTTTCGAAAAATCGACCATGGCATCCAAGATAGAAATCACACCATTAAGTATTGAAACCGAAAGACAGTTCGGAGAAATTGATTGCAGTATAAACTCTACCACGTTAACACCATGCAGTCGAACAAAGTGAGAGCGACAGACCGTGCTTTGATGCAGCCCCGAACCCACAAATGCCAAAAGATCAGAAATTTCTTCTATTTCAAATTCTTTAGTTGGATGAAAGTTTGCCATTTCGGGAATTTGATCTAGTAGTAGCAGAAGAAAGCACGCACAGCCTCCGATAGAATCTAGTGCATGAATAAAACTTTGGGTAACAACCGCATTTGTTCCAGGTCCAAGAGATCCGTGATGATCGTTTCCACTAACGTCATAGCAAATGCGCTTGTTCAAGTCGCAGCTCCGTGCGTCATAAGAAAAGCACAATTTAAATTTATCCGAATGATTCAAACTCTCCGCTGTGATTGAGTTGAGATCATATTTCCAATGTGTAAGCCAATGCAACCTCTGGACTCCAGTCTCTGATAGCGGCACGCCAAAAAGAGTGGGACTCCAAATTTTTCCTTGCAGACCACCCACAAGAGGCTCAATGCCGATAGTATTGCGTCCACCCACCATTGCTACCGGATCAGGATATCCTAAGTTCCCACAGAAAATATTTACTCCATCCACGTACACGGTCAATTTATCCTTAAAAACTATGTTCTTAGCGTGCACGATGCACAAGTGCATCCACTCCTTTTGCATCTTCTCTGCATACTCGACAAACGGCACTTCCGCTTGCTGAACAGCCCCGTGGACTCCAACTGACTTCACTAATAATATATTGCCACTTAGAATTGCCGACACACCCTGCCCGTTAAGACCTCGAAAGCTATATAGCGCGACAGCTGCTGCCGTAGCTTCTATGTGTATGCCAAAGCTACAGCTGTACCCTTTCTTGGTGACTAATTGGACATCGGACGGTATTACTAGTCCGGCATTAGGTCCTCTCATTGTGAAGATTGCACGTGGTATTGTATCCATCTCCAAAAGCGTCTTTTGCATCTGTAGCACCCAGCGACGAGCAGGTGGCCTACCAAGCCGGAGAAAGTCGAAAAGAGCCACTACGTCCGGTGTATTCATGGTCTGGAGACACAGAATGCGTACCATGTCCGTAAGAATTTGAAATGTCTCGCTTTCCACTCCAATTTGGCAGCTTAGTGTATGCAACGTGGATAATAACGCCTTTAAAATCACATTACCTCTCTTAACTACGTGCTGAGACTCTGTAGCATCGTCATTTGTCTCCTGGAGAAATTGAACGTCGTGGAAGTATTTTGAGCATTCGGCAAACAAGCGGCGCAGCACTTCAAGAGTCTCGTGCCGAGCCTCTATAGTCTCGCATCGGCCCAGCACATCCAGAAGCAGCAGCACGGAGTCCTTTAGATGCGACACTTGCGCTAAATTGTCTGCAATTGCTTGTTGCGTACGGAGATGAGCCGCCTCGGCATCTTGCAGCAGCATACGCAACTGCTCCATAATATGTCGTTCTACGATATGACGTCTGTAATAGGAGGTTGTGCATTAAAATAAGAGGATTTCCAATTACATCCGTTCTGACAAATTATTTCAAAAGTGCATCAAAGCAGATTTGATCATTTCAGTGAAAAACTTAAACGACAAAAGAATACAAGTAATACAGTTGAGAAGCACAAAATAATTGTTCACCGCAAAAAGAACACGCCCTCAGAGACATTGGCGTAGAGTCCGTGTTGAACGTGCACACACCAATGTAGGCTTGTTTAATCAATACGATACTTACATCACCAACAAATAGACATCAATCACGATGAACTAATTTTCATTGCAAGCCATGTTGGCGAAAAACTTTGTCGAGGAACAGCTTGGCTGTATCCTCACTGGTAATCGTCTCTCTCTGACAGCAACAGTACAAGCCATTTTGCTTGGACAATTTACATAATTTACAATGAATGAAGCTGATATAAAAGTGATTTTTGGAAATAAAACAATAATGTTGGACAGCCCGCATTCCATCGAAACTGGTAGGCTCCAACAATTGTTAGGTCGATTCGCACGTACGTACATAAGTGCTTACCCACCTATATATGTCGAGCTACTAGTATATAGAACATCTACCGAGGTGGGATATCATGCACCTCGTACAGAATTCTGTACTTTAGACTCTCTTCATGAGGCACCACACATTAAGTGTCAAGTGAGCCGATGACATTAAGGCGAGAGATAACAGTGTAAAACGAACAATCTGATAAAGCGATAGCTGAGCTCGCAATCTCTGTGCACTGCGGAGCTCAAACAATGCATCCCCTGTTGCATCTGGCCCGGACGATGTATATATCGCCAAATTGATGCGCAACCAAGTCAAGCCACCTCAGATTAAGTGGTACCTCACTTCGAAGATTTGCACGTCAAAGAAGGATAATCATATTGCCATTCTCCGTTCAAGACGCAGTGGCCATGTCGCTGTGTGTAACGACGATGATATCTATCATACAAATAGAGATATACATACGCGCCCAGAGGGCATACTTCAATGCAAATAGCTTTTTCTTTTAATGGGGGCTTAGTTCTTGTCGCTTTAAACAAAAAGGTTAACTTACAATGTCGCATTCGCGTGATTGATATTTGCTTGGAGTAGCTCAGTCTATGCGAAGGCTGAAGCGTCATAGACGACATGGAACGGCCGATCCACATTAAGGAGAATCAAGAGTCGGTGTTTCATTTTTACGTCTGAATATTGATTCCACCTCGCTCCAGCAACTTTTGACAGCTTTAAAGAAGATTGGTGAAGGGACGTGTCATGGCGACAAAACTTGCAAGTAGTCGGGCAAAATTCCGTTTTTTTATCCCCCATTGGAAAATAGACAATGGCCGTTCTGCGATGACCTTTATCTTTGAGAGTCCTGCGCTCGGACCACGCCTTAAAAAAGTAAACCATAATTTTATTTTTCTGGTGACATCTTATCTATTTTGACGTTCAGCTTTCTGAGATGCATACGCCCGAGCTGTTATGGCATTATTTGGCGTAAAGTTTCACATTCAAACGCTTGTGCTCTGCAAAACTACGGACAAATGCATTCCGAATCAAGCAGCGGTGCAACTTATACCAGACGATTGAACGTCGCAGATGTTCTAGCCAGTGTTTAGAGTGTAACCGTACAGTCCCAAAGTATGCTCGAAACACTCACTGCAGTAAAAATGGACAATATAACCGGTCGATTTAATTTATCTACTAGGTCGAGAGCATGCAGCAACTTATGCATATTCCATCTAGGAATATTTTGGGGTCAGAAAAGCTCCTACATTTTACCTTGTTATTATCGTGCACAATCCGTCGTTTGTTGCTGTTCCTCTTTTTGACATAGAGTGCTGTTATCAAGTAAATGCACGGAAGATAGTGTCATTGACGCCGCAATGCTACTGTTACATGGCACGACCCCTTACTAATAAATAGTAAATGGAGTTGGGGTACGTTGGGAGCTGCGGCTTATGAGGATGTGAAGAAGCCTTATGCGCATCCCGATTCTGGGTCATCAACCAACCTATGCTATCTGTGATTCACAATACACTGTGCCTTACTGCAACTGATTATCATGAGCATTCGTCAAGATAGCTGTTGAATCGCGCCAGCTAAAAGCGGTAGAGTGGGACAGCTTCTGGGATGACAAAGCGGCTCACGCAAAGTTGACCCTCGTCTAGCTCGTGGTGTACCTGCTTGGCTCTACGTCCATACCATTTATGCATATCGACGTCTTCGTCATATAATTGTAAGGAATATTGAGGATTATATTTTCTTTTTGTGGAGTATGCCGTTGAGGTGAAGTATAAACTGGGTCGGCTTAATTTTGAGGCAGATGTTCTTTTGGGTCGCCTCGACTATAAATTGTCGCATGCAACAATAGTGACGTCGCCAATTGAAGAGGCGAAAACAAAACGTTTACGGGTTAGACTCAACATGGGTTCCGCTTGCAGAAAGATCTGTGAGGCAAAGCGTTTAAGCGGTTCTATGCCGCTTTTTTCGAGCTCTTGGTTGCGCGTCTGCACCGCTATGCCATATATTAAGGCCTGCTGTATGACAGGGCTACACTCAGCGTGAAGTGGTTTCTCACGATGATGTCATCAAGTACGGAAGTTACATGATACCTCTTTGTATAACCACATCGGTACAGAAACAGACAAAGGCATTCTGCTCGGTGAAGTCTATATATTCATGTTCTAACACGTTAGTACATATGTGCCCAGGTACAAGACGTGTCAACGGATTAAATCCTAGCCGCATGCGTCGATGATTTTGACAAGACTGTCAATCTTGGTAAAGTATTGGTAATTTTAGGGTTCGGGTTTTTCTCGATTTTCCAGCCAACACTCCGGTAATATCGGCCTAGTAGTATTTACACAAGGATGGCTCGTCTCACTGCAGTCAACAATGTGAAAAGTAAGGATACAGCCAAGCTATTTCTCGAAAGATTGTCTCGTCAACATGGTTTGCCGACTGCATATAGAGAGCAGATCTGCACTTAACAGCAAAGCTCCGGTAAGAATTTATTACAATGTTTGGCACCGAGTTAGAAATGCTATTTGCTGACCATAGTCAGACGGAATGCGTAAATGGCGACGTGGATGATACTGACTTTGCAGCAAAACTGCGGTGCTGAAACGAGATATTTCCACTCTTAAAGGTTGCATTGAATAACGTAGTACATAGTCTTGCCTCATTTTACATAAAAAAAATTTGTGGACTACCAGGTGCATTTGACACCACCATATATTGACTTTAGTTTACCCGGCTGCGTTTTGTAACGAAACTATTGACTGCATCTCAATGAGATTGAGCTTCATGCGCAGAATTCGCAACGCTATGACAAGGAGTCGTGATGAACGAAAGCAACAAGCGATACCAAAGTTGGGCGGGATACAAATCGATATGTCCTACGGCAAAAGGGTTCGGTGAATACAATTAACTTACTCACAATGCAGTGTTTGTGGTTTATAAGTCAGGTTGCGACTGCGCTACACTGGACTTCCGCATTTGCAGCGAAAAACGGTATGAGATATACTCTAAAAAAACCAAAGAGAATGTAAATAAAGTCGGTGTTGTACGCGGACTCAGTTAAGCAAAACACGATGCCACTCTAACGAGCCAGTAGGATGGTAAGGGCTCGGTTGCAGACAAAACAGCGTCTTTACCCTTCGCTATAGCTCAGCTGACCGCTGCTTCAAAGCAGCGCGGAGAGTGCCTTAAATCAGATATAGAGTGACAAAGAAATCGGAGATCTGACTTATCTCAGTCTTGGACGCATGCGAAGACTCTTGGGAAGAGTCAATGTGTTACCACAATTAAGAGAATTCGCGAGAGCATTTCACGGGAGGGCGCATTTAAGCCATCACTGCTACAGAGGCAAGGGGTTGCTTACTTTTACATGGATCAATAATGGGTCAGCGGGTAGATCAGTCTGTTACTAGTATCTGGTGAGTTGGACGGATTACCTTCATTCAGTAGCCCATGGGAGATTAAGGTCTCGCTTCGACAATATTACCCTGGTAGCATGGCCTGGCGTATCCTCGCGCATTATTTAACATGAAAACGAAGCGGGGTTGCCCGTCGCAACGTTCCCTGTTAGGTGTCGGGAACTGGCCTTGTGTTAATTTAGACCCTTGGTTATTAACAGTTACAGCTGTTTATGGAGACAAGCGGGGTTGTAAAAAGCAGGAGCTTGAGGTGAATAGTTGGCACATTTACATCATGCTTTGTACTTACATTTTGTTAAAGCCAGCATGAGATGACGCTCTAGACGTACAATAGTTTTGCTGAAACTGACTTGTAAATTCACAGGTCTAGTAAGACGGCGTGTTTTCCTACCCGATTGTACGAAATTAGTTGGATATCTATTGGTACTCTTGCCAGCTCCAGGTACCCAAGGTAGAATCCGTACTTTCAACGAGAGTACGGAATCTCCCAACCGCAGGCGTACTCCTGGGGAGTGATGACCTATGGAAAGAGGAAGCGCTCGCAAAGAAACTTGCTCGCGCTAATTTTACTCCTCGTATGAGCCGACAGCTCGCACGCATATGCTTGTCTGGATTACTCACTAGCATGGCAGACGACTGTGGTTGGAAATGATGACAGGGCGTGATTTTTTAATTAAGACGCGGTACGTGTCTTGGGCTTGCAGTTGAGCAGGTTTGGCTTCTCGATCCAGCTTCATTTCGTCAGGGGTGAGCTTGACAATGCCGTGAGCGATACGGCGGAGTGTTGCACAGCTTTCCCCCGATGGAAAGGCACGGAGTACGAGTACGTGTAGTGGAGGACAGAGCGCAATGAGCGTATCTTCTTTGGGAAAGGCGATGCCGTGTGTTGACGGTGAGGTAGAGGTGTTTGGCCAGAATTCGATGAGTCACTATAGCTGTTCTCGTTGCGGTGCATCTTAACATCCTCACAAAGGTTACTTTTCGCGCGCCTGCCGCGAGAATTGCGCCTTTCTCTAAGCTAAATGAGTCGTATATTCTTATAAACGGGTGGGGACTACCAGTGCACGTGCCTTGAGGAGCAAGCGCGATGACATGCAAAGAGAAGCATTGACTCCAGGTGCAGTATTTGTCTGAGGATCATCGCTTCGGGCAGTGTATTAAAATGGAAAAATTAGTGTGGACCCCAGTATGGCTCACAGTTTAGTAGGTAAGGGTGTGACGGGATAGTACTGTAATTTTGTGTTCCTACACGAAACACATTGGCACGATTGTACTGAGTATGATACTCCGTAATCGTATGAGATCACCTTGAACTTTGATCTAATTGTAAATGCTCATAGGTACCGGAAGATTATTCATTAAGTTGAAAAATTCCAAACGATGCATTCGTGGTAAACGCGGGCTGCTAGGATAGTAGAACGCATTCAAAGCATTAGTCATATTTAAAAGAATACCTATTCATAAGTGCTCTTAAAAAGTAGAACAAATCGACATTTTTACCGTAGTTAACAAAAAGATTAATAGAGGCATTTTCAAGTAGCGATTGAGTTAACATTAAAAGTGACCAATTCTCACAAGAAATTTCACCATTTATAAAATTCAAACAAGTAAAAAAGCTTTATTCCAGGTCCAAAGATCGCTTATTGTCGATGGG